TGAAAACTGAAATTACTTATAAATTATTACAATCGAATTATTTTTCCAGGTTTATCTTGATAATTGATGTAAAAAAAACATTTGAAAATTGGAATCAAGTTGTAGAGTATAATGGTGAATCATTTGTGAACTTTAAACAAATAACGCGGTTGAGTTGATTAAATAACAATGGTTTCCCTTGGAAATAATATGGCATATATTTTGTGAAGCAATGCTTGTAATTTATATGATAACACAATAAAACAATTTATCTTTATTTTTATTGTGTATATTATTATACCATACTAAACAATTGGCTTGCTCAAAAAATGACAGAAGCTTGTGCTGTTTTTTAGTGTTTTATAAATTAGGAATAACTGTTATAATATCATATTAAGTAAAAATAATTTAGAAACTCTAAGAGGACTACACATGGTGGAATGTTGAATCTATACTAAGACCCAAGAAAGATTAAAAAAAACCAAAATACAAAAAGGAAATATGATCCCAATGTATGGAAGAACTTGAATGAATCTATAAAGAGTGAAAGTTAAATAAAAAATTCAGCCAAAATAAATACTATGAAATCTGCCCCCAAAATATTTTAAAATAATCATACAAAGACACCATAATTTTTAACATAGAAAGCCCCTTCAATGGGAAGCACTTTGTTCTATTTTGGGTCTTTAAACAAATAGTTCCAATGCCTATCACCTTTGACACTCCATCATTACCCATATTCAAAATTCCAAAATCACCTGAAGTATAAGATGTGAAGAATTCCTTCCTTTATGTAACATGAAAGCATACACCACTGTTAAGAACCCAAAGAGTATCATCATAGGCTACATTGATCATATTCTCTTGATAAACTATAGCTAAATCATGATCTGAAGTGGTAGTAGCAATACGATCAATATTGTTGTCATTTCTCTTCTTTTCTTGCTTCCCTTTGTCTACTTTATTCTCTTTCTTTCACTTGTAATAATATTTCTTGATATGCCTTATTTTACCACAATGATGACATTCAAGGTTCTTGTACATTGATTTTGATTTACTCCTACTCTTACCTCTATTCTAATCTTGACACTTACTTTTACTTCTTTCCATGTTTTCAGTAACCAACATTTCTAACTGTGAATTAGATGCCCCTGAGTTCTTCTTCTCTCTCTTCATTCAAAATGCCAATTCGTGCATACTGTATGGTTACAACACCATTAGGAGCAGAATTAGTCAAAGATACATGAAAGTTTTCCCAATAAGTCAGGAAGTGTAGTTAAAAACCAAAGTCCAATAATATCTTCATCAAATTTGACACCCATACCAGACAGTTGATCAAAGATACTTTAAAATTCATTCACATGATCAAGTATAGAACTACCTTCTCTATATTGCAAGCGTATAGCTTGTTTAAGCAAGAATAACTTATTGTTTCCATTCTTTAAAGCAATAAGGTTTCAAGCTTTTCCCACAAAATTTTGGCATTTGTTTTATTAGCAATATAATTCAACATATTATCTTCTACCCATTGTCAAATAAAACTACATACTTGTAAATTCTCAAATTCTTAATCTTCATCTGATTTAGACTTACGTTTTTAAGAAACAAACACAAGTAATGCAATCTTTTCACAACAAGGAA